TGGCGCTGGAGCCCGGCTGCCCCAGGCGCCAGCTGCCCTCAGGACTGCACCGCGTCTGACCCCGGCGTGCGGCCGCTCGAGCTCTGCGGGCATTGTGGAGGCCACAGATGGACCCCGCGAAGAGAAGGGGTCGTGGGGCTGACTTGTGCGCCTCAGGAAACTCCTCAGCCCCAAGTCCGCTCGTTACCGGAGGGGTGCGAGCGTGGCGGCTGTTGGGAGATGTGCTCTGTGCCACGCCGTGACTGGAAATGGCGACGGGTTCCCCAGTGCTGGCATGGCGTCTGCAGCCGCAGGAGGTGCAGAGCCAGCGTGCCAGGCCTCAGGAATGCTTTGGAGAAGTAACTGCAGCGCTCTGCACTGTGCAGTTATTTTAGTGTGTGCAGGACCGATTTAGGGCAAGTGTTTGGTGGATGACAAGTTGACGATGAGCCAGAGGTGTGCCCTGGTTGCCAAGAAGGCCAATGTCATCCTGGGGTGCATACAGAAGAGTGTGGCCAGCAGGTTGAGGGAGGTTCTCCTTCCCCTCTACTCTGCCCTGGTGAGGCCCCGTCTGGAGTAGTGTGTCCACTTCTGGGCTCCCCACTTCAAGAAAGATGAGGAGCTACTGCAGAGAGTCCAGCGGAGGGCCAACGGGATCAGTGGTGCCCAGTGACAGGACAAGGGGCAATGGGCACAAACTGAAGCAGAGGAAGTTCCGTCTGAATATGAGGAAGAACTTCTTCCCTGTGAGGGTGATGGAGCACTGGAACAGGCTGCCCAGGGAGGTTGTGGAGTCTCTTTCTCTGGAGATATTCAAGACCCGCCTGGACAAGGTCCTGTGCAGCCTGCTGTAGGTGACCCTGCTTTGGCAGGAGGGTTGGACTAGATGACCCACAGAGGCCTCTTCCAACCCCTACCAGTCTGTGATTCTGTGTGATTCTGTAAGGGAGACTAAATCTGTTAACGGGTTTTAATTGTCAGGAGTTGCCTTCTGCCCAAGGCAGGCTTTCTCGGGTCTTGCTAGGATACAGATATTCTCTAGACCCGGTTGTCTGGGGCAGATAATACACACTGGATTCTGTTGTGGCTTGTTAAAGAGAAAATATTTGAAAAATAAACAAAAGCTGTAGACAGACTAGTGAAAACAAGATGCCTTTTCAGCTTAAGACATGACACAAGTGGTGCTTATGAATTTACAAGGCTGCTGTAGCTCTAAGCCAAAGCAATACTCAGCACAAAACCAGAAATCACTGGATGAGAGTTTTGTTTTGGATCAAAGTCACCATTCCTTTCTTGATACTGAGTGGCAACAGCGGGGTTTCTGGAGCAGCCTGTCATTCTAGCCAAAGCAGGCTTCACCAGTGCAGAAACACGTTATCTCTGGTCACATATTGGCCCTTTGTTTTCTCATTCACAAACAGCAAAACCAGGCAAGGGGAACCTTGGGTTGTTCAAATCTTATTAGCAGCTTGGGCATGGGCTTGAGGTTGTTTCAGTCATCCACTGCCTTCCAGGTCATTTCACTTTCCTTATCTCCTTTTTTCTTTTTCCCCGCTTGCTTCTTTGCCCCTTGCCTGTTATTTAGGCAGTCAGTGCACAGTCACTTTTTACAGTACCTTGCTTGTGAACAGAATGACCAATGCTCTTGGCCAGGTGTTAAGATTTGCTAAAGACAAGGAAGGCTGCTCCTGTAGTTTTCCCAGGAGCAGGACTGTCAGCCAGAGGGACACATACAAGATCTGTTTTTGCCTGTCCCTCCGTATGTGAATCTGATGAGGTTTTCAATGCCAGTAATCGTTCAGAGCCACTGAGAGTTACATTCCCTTTCAATGAGATTGCTTCACACCACTCTGAACAATCTTCTCGTCTACACAAAAGGTTTCATCACATAAAATTGCAGAGAGAATCAAAGACACAAAGAGAATATTTACTAGCATACTTAATTTGGAAAAAATAACTGGTTTACATGCATTTAATAAATTTGTTAAGTCCCTGTTTATTTATCAAATACCAGTTACGGAAGTGAGGTGATGCAGCAGTTTAGTGCAATAGGGCCAAATACCTTTTCCTAGGCATTTCAGTCCCTCCAAAGCATGCATAGTTTGGAATCCATTGGAACTACCAGTTCTAGGACGCTACTTCATCTTCTTAACAGTGAATCTTTTTGTCTGTACTTGTTTTACACCTTTTTAAAGGGTAACATACTTTTCTTATCATATGAAAGTACCCATTGTTACTCCACACAGAGTAAAATAATGATCAGGTGGAGGAGTTACCTTCTGGCTCAGATGACAATGAATGGCATTTATTCATAATATAAAATTAGTAGGTACAAATAAATATTTTAGTTTCTCTGGGTTTGCTTTTTTTAAAGAACTGTATTTAAGTGAGTTACTGTTTGGGTCGCCGCTTTGGCTCTAGCTGTTGCAAAGAGTAATCCCTCCTAACATGTAAAGAAATTAACCTCTGCTCTTCACTCTGCAGGAAGACACAGTCAGAGAACAGCGTCAAGAGGGGTGAGTTCAGGGACAGAGTCTAGCAGCAGAGTCCCAGGATTAAGAACATTCTTAAGGGCTTTCCTGCACCAGGGTCACAGGCAAGGAAAGTGTTGCATGGTAGCCAGTAAGAGGAAAACACGTCAGTAATCTGTAATTTCTGACCATTAGGGACATAACCTGTATAGGTATATAAAAGGCTAACTAGGGGCTGTGCAGGAGAACAAACACTGAAGTGTTCTCAAATCTTAGCTTTAAAATTCAGCTTCGAGTTGCTGTGAATGCGTAAGGAAGCCAGGTAACGTTTCTCATGCTGCACTTAAGCACTGTCAGGACACCAAGTGCTTTTCAGATACCTTTTCTTTTTGGAAGGGATGCAGCTTTGTACTTTGTGCAGCAGCTGGTATGAGCTCCTACATGGGCCAATATCAGCCTTTACAGTCAAAGATTTCTCACTCTGGATTTCCAGAAGTCTGCCTTGGGCTAAATCTCTGGCATGGCTGTCTGGACATGATCTTTATTTAGATCTTCACCTGTGCAGAGCTAGCAACTTAGGCCTAAATGTGTCACTTTAACCCATCCTGTTTAATTCCACACCACCAGAAGGGTTATGTATGTTTTACCACCAAAGCTCTACCTAAACTGAGGAGATGGAGTGCTACCTCAGTAAGTTTGCAGATGACACCAAGTTGAGCAGAAATGTTGACCTGCTTGAGGGTAGGAAGTCTCTGCAGAGGGGTGTGGACAGGCTGGATCGATGGGCTGAGGCCAACTGTATGAGTTTCAACAAGGCCAAGTGCCAGGTCCTGCACTTCGGTCACAGCAACCCCATCCAATGCTGCAGGCTTGGGGAGGAGCGCCTGGAAAGCTGCCCGGCGGAAAAGGATCTTGGGGTGTTGGTCAACAGCCAGCTGAACATGAGCCAGCAGTGTGACCAGGTGGCCAAGAAGGTCAACGGAATCCTGGCTTCCAGCAGGAACAGTGTGGCCAGCAGGAGTAGGGAGGTGATCGTGCCCCTGTACTCGGCAATGGTGAGGCCACACCTGGAGTACTGTGTTCAGTTTTGGGCCCCTCACTACAAGAAGGACATTGAGGTGCTGGAGGGTGTCCAGAGAAGGGCAATGAGGCTGGTGAGGGGTCTAGAGAACAAGTCTTATGAGGAGTGGCTGAGGGAGCTGGGGCTGTTTAGCTTGGAGAAGAGGAGGCTGAGGGGGGACCTTATTGCTCTTTACAGCTACCTGAAAGGAGGTTATAGTGAGGCAGGTGTTGGTCTCTTCTCCCAAGGAACTAGCGATAGGATGAGAGGCAGTGGCCTCAAGTTGCGTCAGGGGAGGTTTAGATTGGATATTAGGAAAAATTTCTTTACTGAAAGAGTGGTCAGGCATTGGAACAGGCTTTCAAGACCGGCCTGGACAAGGTCCTCTACAGCCTACTGTAGGTGACCCTGCTTCAGCAGGGGGTTGGACTAGATTACCCACAGAGGTCCCTTCCAACCCCTACCATTCTGCGATTCTGTGATTCTGTGATTCTGTGGTGGAGTCCTCATCCCTGGAGGCATTTAAAAAACTTGTAGATGTGGCACTTCGGGATATTGTTTAGCAGGCATGGTGGTGTTGGGCTGATGGTTGGACTTGATGATCTTAGAGGTGTTTTCCAACCTTAATGATTCTATGATTCTAAAAGACTAGAAGCAGAGATTACAAATAAAACTGTCTTTTAGAGAGTTTCTATTTGCTGATACTATTGCTATCCAGAGGTGTGTAGGTACGTATCAAGCACTACAAAAATGCAAGCATTCATGGCAACATTCTTCTGTTTAAAGCCAGCCTCCTGTGAAGGCCATTGCTTCACAAAAAGCACCCCCACAGAATTCTCTTCCATTCTTTGTGTATGGGAAGTGATGCAATCTTTACAGAGTAAAATTGTCATAAATACCACATACTTCTCTTTCTGCTCTTTTGTCCTACCATTTCTTACCAATACAAGTGTAAGGTGGATGATTTATCCCTTGCCCTGCACTGTCTCATAAATGTATGCCTTCTCTGGTAGTCTACCTCACAAATCACAATATTTTTCTTGAAAATATTGTCATTTTGTATTTTTAGCTAGTCTTTCTCAGCCTAGATGACAGCTGTAAATTCCTGATATCTTTTAGGGCTGTTAATGTTGCACATGACCTAAATATAGAACAAATAAAAATTATATAAACACCCCAGTAAACTCATTGTATCAGTGATATTATCAGCTTTCCATACACATTGACATATTAATAGCAAGCCGTCAGACTTGGTAGCAAACTGCATTGCTTCCTCCCTCAACATACAGTAGCAGCGTAAGAGGTTCTTCAGCCAGAGATGAAATGGCTATAACTAAACAGTCCTATCTGTCTGAGATGGTAGAGATGATGGAAGACAACTTGTGAGGTGTGAATTGTGGTGCTCCCTTGGATGACTGGGTACCTAAACTAATATTTAGGGTCACCCTGGTGGTCATTCTCACCTAGCCTGAGCCATTCACATCCACCCTCCCTGACTACAGCATGTTCTGAGGTATGTCCCACAGTCATTGTGGTTCAGAAGAGATCTGTCCAAGGTTCAGGTGGACTCTCCTGCATTTGTCTCTGCTTACGTGACTAGTCTATAAGTACTGTGGAGTTCTGAGGTTGCTGTTTAGCTTCATGAGGTTTAGCCTTCTGCCTCCTTGACTTCCCTAGATGCTACAAGAAGAGCTAATCCAGACACAAACATTTAACTGGGCTTCTGAGTTCATCCTGAACGTTTAGGGCTTTAATATTGATGAACA